ACTACTGCTGCAATACTCTTCTAGGGGTTAATCCTCAAACCCTAACAGACTTCAACACCCAGAATTCCGCAGCTAGCACGGCAGAATTGAAGTCCACACATCTTACCAAGGTTGAAAAAGATTAGGCTAGATGGCCATTGGTTAACAATGCTGATGCATTGAGCAGGAAATTGGGCTAGATCTTCTGTACAGATAGTCCTTAATTTACTATCATTCATTTAGTGACAGTCCAAAGTTACAATGGCACTAAAAAAAATGACTTACAACTGGTCTCCTTGCACTTAAGGCTCTCACACCATCCCCACCATCATAGGATCAAAATTCAGGCACTTGACAACCTGCCTGTATTTACCACAGTTGCAACATCCTGGAGTCACATAATCGCCATGTGTGACCTTCTCAGCCAGCTTCCCAACAAACAAACTCAATGGGGGAAGCTGGATTCGCTTAACAACTGCAGTGATTCACTTAATAACCACAGCAAAAGATATAAAACTGAGTGTGACTTGCTTTAACAATTGCTTTGCTTAGCAATAGAAATTCTGGCCCCAATTGTCATAAGTTGAGGACAATAACTTTGCTGAACCTTGCATTCTATTGTTTCCTATATCCCACCATTAGAAAATACACATCAAGATACATTTTTTTAAAAAATGTAATCAGTATTAAAACATAAGTATTGTCCTGCTCACAGAGTAATAAAGACAAATGGTATTTGTAAAGAAAATAAAGATTTTAAAACAGTATGTGATATTGTGAGGTCATTTTATCTTTTGTAAAACAGTCTTTATAAAAAAAAATTACAGATATACAATTATAAAAATATATACAATTTTCATTGAAAAAATAGGGCTTGTTTACTTGACAAACATTTACAAATAGGCAGAAAATTCACCTACAAATGGAACTGTTCTATTTATTTAGGTCCAGGAATTACATCTTATCAGTTTAGAAACTACTGGTGTACCCCCAAAGAAAATGTAAGTATTCTTGCTATCAGCAGAAAACTCATAAATGAGAGCTATTATAATAAAATGAGATAATGGCAAGTTTCTAAATATATGTTTTACATTGGCTTGGTAGAGGAAAAAATCTCTAGATGATATGTGGTGGATGCTTTACCTGTGGAAAGTGGTTGTCTTCCACATATGCAAGTAAATAAAAAATTAATCCAAATGAAGTATTTATTTCCATTCTAATTACTAAAATAAGCATTTTTTAAATTTGTTTTAGGACTCAGAAAAATGAAACAAGAATAACCCAAAAGAAGAAGGAAAAGAAGGTATTTTTTTAAAAGGAACATAACTTTAATGAAAGTTGTATTTTGTAAATTCCAGGATGTTTGCAATAGTGGCGAATATGTATAGTTCGAATGTGGGATGAAGGTAAAGGTTCATTCTCCGAGCTTGTGGGTTGGTTTCCGGTAATCACAAGACCCATCACAAGATTTACTGATGACTCACAGCTGATCCATCAGAAGACCCTCATTTGACACACCTTTGCTTGAAGCCAGAGGTGGTATTCAGCCAGTTTTGACAGTTCTGGAGAACCGGTAGTGGAAATTTTGAGTAGTTCAGAGAACCGGCAAATACCGCCTCTGACTGGCCCCGCCCCCATCTATTCTCTGCCTCTCGAATCCCAGCTGATCCGCTCGGTCTTCTTTTGTTGCCCTGCACAGGAGAATGGAGCTGGAAAGCAGGTTAATGGGGTGGGGTGGGGTGGGGTGGGGAGGGAATGGAGATTTTGCAGTATCCTTCCTCTGCCATGCCCACCAAGCCAAGCTACGTCTATCAAGCCACGCCCACAGAACCAGTAGTAAAAAAAACCCACCACTGTCTGAAGCCTAAAACAGCACTGACACTGTGACTTCCCCTAAACTCCACTGAAGATGTTACCTAGCCTGGTAACGAAACATTCAGAAACCAATCCACAAGCTTGGAGAATGATGTTTATTTATAGTAATAGTTCTCCTTAGCTGCTATTATGCATATTTAGCATGATTGCTAGGTTGGATTGTGTTTTTAATGCCATATTATATGTTGCTGTTGCAAAATGGACAGCTATACAGAAGGTGGCATGGGGGAAGAAATACCACAATTTTACAATGTGAAACTGCAAAATAACATCTTGAGATTTTTTTTTAACTCCCTTTTAATTTTTTAATTTAGTTGAATCTTACTTGCTTTAATTTAAAATGGTATATATCGGAGATGTTAAATCTGTGCTGAGTTAAATCTCCTTGATAGCAAATAGACAAATCAGTTACAGTTAATTAGATTAGTAGAACTGTGTTTAGTAAGATCTCAATTATAATTAATTTACATAAATTTAATAATGGTTTTTACAGGATTGTACTGGTGCCCAAGTATAATATGTTAATGAAGTTATTTAAGTCTTTGAAGAACTTGTATCTTTGACATTTGAGAAAATGCATCAGCTTGAATTTGTTAGCAAATTAAGATCTAGATTTTCATTTATATGCATGGTATGGGATAGGTTAGAATATTTTAACAGACCATTCAATTAATCAGCAATTGCTTCTAAAATATACTAGTAAATAAAATGGCATGGTGTTTTTTTTTTGCCATATCTAATTAGAACAAGTGTTTTGCAGTTCTATAAAAGAATAAAAGTTCTTTTAAAATAAAAAAAAATACTTATTTTTCAAAGAAAATGATTATTTTCTCCCATAGGGCAGGAAAAATAGAAACTACAAGCATCTTTTTAGTGACACAGACACCGAATATAGAGGTGATGATACCAACACAGAAATTAGCTGGTTAAGGGAATCAAATAGAAAGCCTAAACCTCAGCTCGTAAATTACGGCAGAGCCAGAAAACCAAGGAAGTTCAAAACTCTGGAACCAGGCAAGATGTCTATTTATTACAAAGCCTATAAATCAGATTATTTTTCTGTAATTAAAATGCAGGGGTCAATTCAAATATTGGTATTTAAATGAATTCCAGAATCTTGGTAGGAATGCTCCCTCCAGGTTCCAAGCAGGAGGTTTGCTAGACAGAATACAATCCAACTAATGTCCATCCTTACACAACACACTCATACACAATTGATAATATTAGCAATTGATAATTGGTATAGGTTAAATTCTCTTATCTTCCTATAATTATCCATTTATGGTTGGATTTTTAATAAAAAATAGACCTAGAAATTGTTGGACTTAATAGAAAGGAAATAGAACAGCTTTATATTTGCCTGCTAAATACATATTCAAAAGTAAGCTCTGTTAAGTTTAGTGGTATTCACAATGAGGATTGGCCTTAAATTATTTATTTGTATTATACATACAGAGAAAAATGCAAGTTTTTGCTATCTCTCAGATTTTCAGTTTATTGTGCACAAAACAGCTCTGATTCATCTCTGGAATTGGATATTCTTCTTCTTGTCATTTCTAATCAGAATACATGTTTCATTTTCCCTAAAAGCATAAAAGTATTTTTAAAATATAGCTTATTTTTCAAATTGCATTTTAAAAGACTCTTCTATACTTCTTAATCCTTTTGCAAACTTTTTCTATACTGCTTTGTTTTTTGTTCTTCCACTACTCTTGCAAATGCACAGAACTAGAGATTTATATGTACTGTATATGACCCAAAACATCCCGACTCTTATACTAATGTTACACCTTTGCTTCTGAGTATAGCACACTTTGCATATCTTAAATTACATTCTAGCACATTACATTCCAATAAGAAAACATTAAAAACGTTTACATTTTTTATCTTAACTGTATTTTTACGTGTCCCTTGATTTTTGCATCTTGTTATTTTATTTATCAACAAATAATTAATTTGATGTCATTGAGAAAATATGTAAATATTTCACATATACATAAAATATTTTCTCCAGCTCCAGTTGTGCTTTTCCTGAAGGCACAGTTAGAAATTTGATGTTCCAAGATTGGATGTTGGCCTTGAGCAACTTTCTGTAGCTTCCAGATTTCTCCTCCAGTCACAGTCACCAAAAATGCCTGGCCTCATTTTTGCCACAGGAAGGCATTCAAAACACATTCAAACAAAATCAGGCAAAGCCCCTCTCCTCATTAAGCTTTAATTTATTTTAAATAAGAAAATCTTTCAAACTCCCTACCCTAGGAAAATAGAGAATTATGGCATGACTTTTACTACTCACTGTTTCAGCATTTATAGACAACATTTCTGCGGTATTTTATCTGAGTGACAGAAAAAAGTTATGCACATATTTGAAGGACAAGAAGCAGGGAAGCAAGGAGCCAAATACTGAGGTGGCCATAGTCCATATTGAGTACTGCTTGGCCCTGTTGCCAAATCACTGTAATTGGACTGGAATTTCTGAAGTTAGTTTAAGAGGAGGAGAAAAGCAGCTTAGGGTGCCTAGTCCCATATTAGGGTCCCATATTAGATACCATCTAATAATTTCTGGAGAGTCTTGCATCTTCAAGAAGATGAAGGTAGACTTCAGTCTGAGATAAATGTTAATAAAGGATTTATTTATTTGGCTTAGAGTCACCTCTAGGCAAGATGGGCTGCACGCAAATTGAATACATAAATAATAAATAAATAAAATAAATAAATACTACATAGATTTATATGGCGGTCCAACTCACACACAGTGACTCTAGGCAGTGTACCACATTACAAATTAAGACTATAAAAAACTCAGAAACCCCAGCCCCCCCTTGGCATAACTTCTAGAAAAGTAACAAAAAGGGGGGCAATCTTATTTCTGAGGAAATGATGTTCCAAAGGGAAGGAGTCACTACAGAGAAGGCCCTTTTTCTTGGTCCCATGAGGTGTACTCCCTTAATTTATTTTTAGGTTTGTTTGTTTATTATATTTATGTATTTGATTTGCATGCCAGCCGTCTTGCCTAGAGGGGGCTCTGTATTCTCTGTATTCTGTTACTTTATAAGTATCTCTAGGGCGAACAAACATAATACTCCTTTTTTACCAGTTGGAACCCATATCATACCCTGCCTTCTTGCTCTGGTGGGCTGAATAGATATAACTGGGTAGAAGTGGTCCTTTAACTTTATTTTTAATTCATTTTATTTTATTTACTTTTATTTATTTTATTTACTTATTTATTCATTCTTTCAATTTATATCTTTCAACAGCAGCTCAGGGCAGCCACCATAGCTTAAAAAAAGACTAAATACAAGCAATAAATAACAGTAAATGTCTTATGCTAGTGGCCTTCCAATTACACCCATTATTCTTCAATCATCTTTGTGTAATTGTGGATTGATTGCATAATTCTAAACTCATGTTTAAAATGCCTTGGTAATTTCTTGTTGAGATGATCAGAAGCAGTGAAAATTGAATGATAATTGTTTTGATCATTGTAGTAGGATTTAATTAATCTTGGGCTTGTTTTGTCATTAATGTTGAATTTTTAGATAAATTCTCTATATCACCAGGCATGAGGGAAATATCTCCACCCCAAAAAAGCAGAAGTAATAAGGTACCGTAATTCTTTCAATTGTTTTTGTTTACAAGTATTGAAACTGTTTTCCACACAGAAAAAGTTAAATGATCAGATTGTTTTTTAAGATTGACTGTTTAGCAGATTGGAATGGAATAAGCCAATCTCAGCAGTTTTTGTTCAAGAAAAATATTCCTATATCCTGAGCATAAAGAAAAATAACTACCATTTTTTCTACTCTGCTATTCTTGTCTTCATGGATTGTCCTTTGTTTTCTAATGTGGTATGTTAATATTTTGAAGCCTATTGTATTAAGCTGGTAGGGATGATTATATTTCTTATGAGATTATACAGGTAGTCCTTGATTTATGACCTCAGTTGAGCCCAAAATTTCTGTTGTTAAGCGAAACATTTGGGAAGTGAGTTTTGCTTCATTTTATGACCTTTCTTGCCCCAGTTGTTAAGTAAATAATTGCAGTTGTTAAGTTAGTAATACAGGTGCTAAGTGAATCTGGTTTTCCCATTGACTTTGCATGTTAGAAGGGTGCAAAAGGTGACCCTATGACCCCAGGACACTGTTGTAAATTCGAGTCAGTTGCCAAGTGTCTGAATGTGACCATGGGGATGCTGCAATGGTTGTAAGTGTGAAAAACGGTTGTAAGTCACCTTTTTCAGTGCTATTGTTACTTTGAACAGTCCCTAACTGAATTGTTGTAAGTCGAGGTCTACCTGTACCTAATTGGCAATCCAGTTTTGATCAGTTTGTCCCCTCTTGTGGTGAATTAAGACACTGAAATTTCCCAACAAGATGTGTTTAGTTGAGATATAATAAATAACAGTGTTATGTCACTAGAACAGGAGTGTCAAACTCAAGGCCTGTGGGCCAGATCCGGCCCATGGGATGCTTAGATATGGCCTGTGGGGCCACCCTGAAAACAACAAAGGACCAGCCATGGTGCCGTTGCTTGTAAAAATGGAGCTCCAGAGGGCTGCAGGCAGCCCTCTGGAGCTCCATTTTCACTGGCAGAGGGTTTCAGGAGGCCGTTGTAGCCTAAAACAGAGCTCGGAAGCCTGTTTTCATGGGCAGAGCACTCAGGCCACCATAGACACCCTCGACACAAGTGACGTTGAGCTGGCCATGCCCACCCCCAGCCACGACCACCCTCCCCCCCCAGGTCAAACACAACCCTGATGTGTCCCACAATGAAATCGAGTTTGATACCCCTGCACCAGACAGCACCAAAAAGGGATGGCTAACATACAGAGAGTCTCTGAAGTCAATCTCTGTACTGAATTTTACGTTGTAAGTAGCTATGAGACATGCTGAACAATTAGAAAAAGATCTAACTTTAATATTAAAATGGTGTGCAAAGTATTTTTTTAAGTACCTATTTCTAAAAATCAGAATGATAACGGTGATGGGGAAAGAACACTACTGACCAGATCAACAAAACTCAGAAAAGCAGCACTAGCCAAAAAATGTTACAAAGAACTCTCAAGTTCAGGGATAGAGAGTGAAGAGGAAATTTCTGAATATTTGCATAAGAAGAACACTTCAAATGAACATGTAAGCTTTGTACTTTATTGTACGTTTACTAAAATTGTATGTTCCTAGAATTTGTATTTTAGAAAATCATTATTTTTGCTTCTGCTTTAGCTAGAATTTGATTTTCAAAGGAATGGAATAGTATTTAACAAAGAAGAATAACAATAAACAGTGTGATTCAAAGAAAAATATTTTACATAAATATTAAATGGTTTTAAAAATAACGTTAGGTTTCACAAAACCATTATCACAGCTGGTTTTAATAAGTTCAATTACAATGTCATTTAAAATGTTATCTAAAGTTTTTATATGAATTCAATTTAAGCAGCATAATTCTTGAAAAATACATGGCATTATCTGTCCTTAACTATTAAAACATAGGTCTACAATTCCTTATGAGTAATTTTACTACTTAAAAGACTAACAAAAACACAAAATTTATAAGCTGAAGGGAAAAAATGGGTGCAAACATGATTTTAGCACAGTTAGACACTTTGCCCATGTTTCCACCTTAAGCTTCCATTTTGTTTAAGAGAAACTAGATTTTAAAAAAATAACATATAAAATACTATTTTGCTTCTTTCTAAAATGCACAGTTTAATTAGTGTGCAGTGAAACTCTGTCTGATAGGTTTTTGTATCTTTAGCCAGAACATAAAATCACAGCAAAATCTAGAGCTGTTAATCAACCCAAGATACAACAACATACAATTGCCAGTGAGGCAGTCAGAGGAAAATTGATAAATCAGCCCCAAAGATCTACTAAAGCAAAAGATGACATGACAAAAAACCAAATGGAATTACCATCATCTCTTTCATCTGGGAGTCCACCTTTCTCTGAGATAATGAGATGTAAGATATATGTTTTGTTGTTATATTTAGCTATAATAGGATAGTCTTAACTTGAATTTATGTACTTGAGATTTTTCACCAGTTAACAATTTTTGAATAACTATAAAGTATATTAGGGCAACTCAGTAAGCTCCAGCAATTTTGCTATAATACTTTTCCAGCACTATGTTCAGACATCTTGACACAGTTATGCCTTATCACACTAGTTGGTAATGTCTGTAGCCACGGGTGCGATTCAACTGGTGTAACAACTGGTTTGGTGAGTGCGCGCTTTGCACGCACCAAATGCACATGCACAGAGCATTTGCTACTGACCTTCTCCAGCTGTGCCGTGTGAATCAGCTAAGCTTGAAAAACAGGATATAAAGCAGAGCTTAGAGCCCGGGGAAGTGGGTGGTCCCAACAGCTGATCGTCGGAGCAAACCTAACCAGTTCGCTCCCAGCTGATCCTCAAAGATACCAGTTCGCCCGAACAGGGCCAAACCGGTAGAATCCCACCCGTCTGTAGCTGCAGGGAAGAGCCGGCTCATGCAATCAGGTATATTTACAATTAACCATAAAGCTATAAATAACCACTTATATTATCTGTATATATTGTATATTAACTTCCAACAGGCCCGACCCAAAACTATAAACTGAAATTGTATCCTTTTCTTCATGCAAATCACAGTGTTTTCTTTTTAAAAAAATACGATTCCCATAAGAAAATCTTATGGCTGCACCTGGGAATCACATTTTTTAAAAAAGAAAACTGTAATTTGCATGAAGAAAAGGATACTATTTTAGTTTATAGCTTAGATTAGTCTAAATATTCTTGTAGCAATTTGCTTTTTAAACATAAGCCACATTATTTGAATGTAATTTCCATGAGAGTGCTTTTCCCCCCTTAGATATATTTTGGATGGACTTTTGATAAGACAAAGCTGGATATTGGCAGTTTAATGCTAGTCTTTGCCCCATTCTGAAGTCCAGTATAAGTGAAATACCCAAAATTATTTTCAAGCGATGCTGTTTTGCTTCTGTAAAAGTCACCTTCTAATAGTTTTGGTCTAAAATAAAATGGCTTGCTAATCACTTTCCAGTACTGAGGCTGAAAAAAATATTTAAAGGGGTACTTGCCACATTATGTTGATGGAACCCAACTGCCCTCCAAAAAAATGAGATGTTCGTATCCTCAGAAAGGTTCACAGGCACTTTGGAAGCTTTCCCAGGTTGTAATAGTCCATCTGTCCATGCACAGGCACTTCTGCTGAGACTGCTGGCCAAGTGAAGTGGTTGTGCAAGCTCAAGGCATGTGGAGATGATGTGGGGAAGGCTTTTGAAACTTTGCTGAACCTTCTGAAGGATTTGTTGGCTTCAGTGCTTCAAGGAGGAATGTTATGTTCTCACCAAAATCCTTCAAAACATTCCATAGCCCTAAAAATTATCATTTCCAAACTCATTCAGTCACAAGAAAAACTGTAAAAACAAATTGAGGATGCCCAGTTTTAAAAAGTATATTTAAAAGATGTTCTTGCTACACAAGATTGCCCAGAAAAGCAAATGCAATTCATATATGAACTACATCTTGTCTTTTCTTAATTTCCGTTACAATTTCTATCTTGTGAGGAAATAAAAATATATTAAATGTTTTAGAAAAGTCAATGTATTCTCTCAGATGAGCGGTGTGATGGCCTGGTGGTGAAGATACTCACCTCCCACTCAGAAGGTTGAGAGTTCAATCCTAGGTAGCGACAGTGGATTGTCTCATATGGTGCAAAGGAAAACTATCTGCTGCGAACTTTGCATAGGCATCAGGAAGGCTTTCCAGGCAGTAAATGCTCAATTCCATCCAGTCACCCCGACTCTACCCCGAATTAAGGGATTATGGAGTTGTAAAAAGGGAGTTTTTATTGTATTTTCTCAGATATACCGTAGCCCATAGCAAAAAACTGAGGGCATCAGTTCCTAAAAACACTGTAATGTATTGTGCAATGTAATATTATTATAGAGGACTAAAGCTCAGCAGCACAACATTTCTCATGAAAAATGTATTGGAAAGTAGGAAAGCTTTTTTGCTTTCAGAGTACTGAGCTTCAGGGACTAATGTACTGTACGATACAACCCAAATTTATAGTTTTATTTTTCAGATGTAGTTTCTTCATTTGAATTGTTCATAGTTTTACATTTCAGGGAATACAACAATTAGTGTTTATGTCTGCTTGTTCCCTTTCCAGCAGAAATTTGCAATTTCACTTCTGTTTTAGATTAGTTGTAACTTTGTATGAATTATGTAACTTGGTATGTTTTTTAAAGCTGGATCGACTGTGATACATCTTAAATTTTTAAAAAAGGCATTGGGTAGGTCAGAAATGGATCCAATCGATTTCTTTGGGTTTAATCACCTGTTTCAACCTTCAGTTCATGAAATTAGCTATATTTAACACCAACACCACCCCACCAAATGGGATTTCAATGATAGGTCTAAAATAGAAGCTTCTGATCTGGGCTGTGCCAGAGATGAGAATACACATGTGAGCCTCTTATATTGTTAAGGTTGATTCAATGTTACAACAACAGGTAGCCAATGTTTTAAAATCTGTTTATGGGGTTTGTTAAGGTTATGAGAAACATACAGAAGAATCTACTGAAGAGCACATATCAGTGAGAAGGTCGTCCTTATCGTCCTATCTTGAAGAATTAACACCTGAAAAGGAGAAATCATTAGAAAATATTAAAGAAGATTTTATTATGGGAAAAATTAATTCAGAGAGTGAACTATTGAAGGATCTTCCTGAAAAGGGAAGAAAATTGGTATTTGAAACGGAGGATCTCTCACCTGTGATAAGTCCGCTTTCTTTGGTAAATATTTACAAACTATTTTAAAATGAGTTTTCCACTCCATGAGTTTGCTTTTCGATATTAATTTAAAACTTCCAATCTTCTGCACTGATACTATAAACCCAGAATGGTTCAGAGAGGTCCTCCAAGAATTTGGCCAAGTTGAGGTGGTATATAATAAATGAATGAATGAATGAATAACAAAATGCCTTTATATAAAAACCAACTCAATAAACTGAACAATGTTTATAAAGAATAAATACAATTATTAAAAGTTTATTTTGGATAAAATATAAAAACTGTTTGCAAGTAATGGAAGGTCTCCCCACTCTGATCCTGGAACAGTAGTTATTCTACAAATGTCAAGTAAATGTGAATGTTTTCAGTTAATTTTTAAAAGAAGAGAATACAGAAGCCATCTTAATTTCCCTTGGAATTGAGAATAAAGGCTCTAAGATTACTTTTTATCTTTGCTAAACTTTAAATGAATTTAGATGCAATGTAGAAGAGCCTACATTTTCATTTCTGCTTCTGTTCTTCACAGATAATTTGGATGGGGATATTTAGTTTAATTATTAAGAATATTGGAATTGCAATGTGCAACTAATCATACTGGGAGTTACATATATTTCTAGGAAGTTCTTACAAAATAATCAACCTTAATTGCGGAATGAATGTACTTAGAATTGTAGGTTTGCAATGTAATTTTTCAGTAAGACTTTGTATGCTGAAAATAATGGATAGGATTACAATCTTAAATATTTCTGTTGTGTCTTCAAATTGAAGAATATTATTAAATTTATATGGTTGTGTATTTACTACTGTTAATTTTTGTTTTAGTCCAACAATAGTCCCTTCAATAGAAAAAAACCATTTATCAATTATAAAAATTCAGAAATTGCTGAGGACGAAATCTGTTACGCTGATGAAGCAGTGAGCATTACAAGGGGCCTTTTAAATAAATCATTTCGTACAGAAATGGAAGATACATCTGAAAATATCATGAAGAGTAGAAGAGAGGTATAATATTGTCAAGATAATCTTTACTCTTTTTGATAAATTGGTTTTATGTAATATAATTCTGTTGCTGTTACTAACAAGTTCAGTTTAAATGTGTTTCTAGTTTAAATAGCTTATTGCATTTCGAACTAATGAAACAAACCAATCCAGAATTGCTCTATTATAAAGAAAAGCATCCTACTTGCCATTTATATATTGCTTATTTTACATCAAAAGAATAATTTTCCCTGAAATGTAAAAGCATACCTTACGAATGTCAAATTATTAAGAATCCAGTTTAGAATCGTATACACGTATACTGATGTATATAAGAAGAATCTAAATTTTAAAAGAGAAAAAGTCTCTTTCAGTTGAGTTTTTTCAAGGTATGGAATGTAGTTTGAACCTCACTTTGATATACAGGGTAATAGTAATGCTATGTCTCAGATATCCATTTAACAGTTGCTCGTTCCCTTGATTTCTGTACTTTGTACAAGGAATTTTCAGCAGATATTACCACATTTCTATGTCCATATTTACACGTGTGAAAATATAGGTCTGTCCATATCCAATGATCAAGATATTTTCAGTACTGTAGGACAGACACAATTAATCAAGCACTGCATGCTGGGAAACAGAACATTTGTTCAGGAATAACAATCAATATGCCAATTTCCTCAGTATAGCAATAAGTGAGAAGAAATGAGTTCAGGAAGAACAGAATTGTTTGATAAAAGAAAGAATGGAATAAGCATTAGAGAAATGCTAAAGCTTAGGAAGCTATCGGATGGGGAACCTGCCTTTTGGCTCTGCAGAGTGTTCTTCCTCTTTGTATTTAAAAACTTCATAATTTTTAACCTTTCAGATCTGTAGGTTTGGGCTGCAGTGATATTAGTAAGTACACGATGAACTGCTCTATTTGTTTTCCTTCACCATATCCTAGAGAAATTTTGAAATTTTTAATTGATATCAAGTGAAGTATTGGATGGTTGAAGACAAACAGGTGGATGCTTAAACCCTGGAATGATCTGGGTGCTGGAAATATAGTTCAATTTTAAACAAGGTTACATTTTCCCTAAAGAATCGTAGATGTATTTTGGAGGTTCTCCTTCTGTAGAGTGATTACTAGAGATGGAGGTACAGTATATACCTGATATTTGTGGTTTAACAATTTTGTACCATCTTCAGTAGGTTTATCATCTTTAAATTGCTTATATCTTCTCTAGAACCACAAACCATAACTCAGTAATGTAAGACCTGGTCATACATAGGGTTCTTTAAAAATATATTGAAAATAACATATCCATCTTTGATTTTCTACTATGAATAATATATTGTTTAAACTTTAGTTGGACTGTATATCTTCATTAACAGCACTCCAGAAAATTAATATTAAATTCCTATGATTATTAGCCCTGTTCTTTTTGATAATACTTTTTATATGCCTTTATTAATATTGTTTTAAAAGAAAAGTTCAAATTGGTATTATATTGTTTCACAAACTGATCCTCTTACAAAGGTTTAGGTTGGTTAATATATCTTTATTTTTAGGGTTCTTTATCTCCATCTCAATTAACCACACCTTGCAGAAGCAGAGAAGAATTACAACATGAAGAATGTTTTACCGATGTACATGAATCTGGTATAGTTTCATAAACAATTATAAATACAAATATTCTACAATTTAACTATACAGAAAATGAAAACCTCTGCATTTTCAGGCCATGTGCAGGCTAGTTATTTTAAAATACAGTCCCGTTTACTAAAATTGTAAACTGCCCAGAGTCATTTAGAAAGTGTGATGGACATTGTATAAATCTGATTAGTAAATAAATGAATCAAATAGAAGTTCTCCCCATCCCAATTTCTTTAACTCATTATTACTAATCATTGCATTATTCATGGAAACTTTCTTGTCATAATATTGCTCATTCCCCTCAGTGGAACAACTTGCCTCCAGAAGTTGTAAATGCTCCAACACTGGAGTTTTTAAGGAGAGATTGGATAACCATTTGTCTGAAATGGTATAGGGTTTCCTGCTTAAGCCAGGGGTTGGACTAGATTAGAAGACCTCCAAGATCCCTTCCAACTCTGTTATTCTATTCTATTCTATTCTATTCTATTCTATTCTATTCTATTCTATTCTATTCTATTCCATTCCATTCCATTCCATTCTTTTTTTTCTTTCTTTCTTTATTTATTTTTGTCAATTGCTTACAAGATAATAGGTATAAGTAAAAACATAGTTATGAATACATGGATACGTATAAGAAAAATAAAAAATAAAAGAAGATATAGGACAGGGATGGTAGGCACGTTGGTGCGCTTATGCACAGACCTCTTAGGAAAGGGGTGAGGTCAATGGTAGACAGTCTAAGGTTAAAGTTTTTGGGGTTTGGGGAAGAAACCACAGAATGGTTTTCTATTCTATTCTATTCTACCTCTTGTTTTATTGCCACTTACAGTTTCTAGTGGACTAAGAAGATTTTTTTTAAAAACATTTTTTTTTAATTACTATATTCATTTAAAGTAAATGATAGCAATAGTCTGTGCCTTAAAAAGGACAAAGAAAAGATATACATCTTCTTGAACCACAAGAATTGGAATAAAATTGGAGTTTCTGTAAATGTTGCATGTATGAATGTTTTAATAAATACTTTCTTGAACATATTTTTTTAAAGCGACATGTTGCACTAATAAAAGAGATTATGTTACCAAAACAAAAACCCAGTGGCAGTTCCCTCTGACATGTTTGCACATTATTTGGAGACATCCTCTTCAGGATGTCTGAACTGTGCATAACAGCACTTTTACTGTTGTTTATGATGTGTTTAAATATAATCTTATTAAAGGACCTACAATACATCCTAATTTCAAACGACTATATCAGGAAGATACAGAAAATTATTCCGATGAAGAAGAAATCAGGAGGGAGGAAAGGAAAATAAAGCTTATCCCTAGAAAGTTATTCAAAGCAGATCATAGTACTTACAGAGGTGAGCTGAAGCTTAAATTGAGCTGTAAAAAACATTGGAGTAAGAAATGACAGAAGACATATAGCATATAATAAACCTGTTGATTTATGTCACTTTATATTACTTTTCAATTCGAAAAGCTCTTTTGATTTCATTTAAGATTTGCTAGAGTCAATAATTGTCAGATTTTTTGAGTATTTTTGTGCAGGTACCCTATAAAGGATAATTTTGTAGTTTAATAAAAATTGTATTTAATTATGTGTAAAAATTAATAATAGTAGGGAATATTAACAGTAATAGTTAATAACTGTAGGAAGTTACTTTGAATAAAGAAATCATCAGTGATGGTTTCACATGAATTTATTTTTGTCAACCTGCAGTTCAAAAACAAAATGACCTCTATATATTAGTATTTACTCTCTTTATAGGAAGCTGTAATTATTTTTCTGTTCAGAGAATAAAGCCCTCTGGTAACTTTCTAAAATGGTCCAAAGAGGCAGTGACCTCCTGCTTTTCTGTCCATTTCTTCCCAACACTTATGAGAAAATTGCTTAAGTCATTGATTATTAGGGGAATATTTTTTCTTTGAAGAAGATTGTTAAGACTTGTAGGGCATATTAGTATTAAAAGGATAATACAGTTGAGTAAACAACATCTAAATCTTAAAATATTCTTTTTTCAGTATCTGAAAACTTATCTACATTTTCTATCAATGAGACATCTCCTTTTGATGGGGAAGGCTGTTCAAATGTAGAAACAATTTGTCAGACGCTTCATAAGGAATTTGCTAGGAAAATACAGGTAAATATATCTTTCTTGGAGATACATATTTAGTGTATACTGTCTTTGTCTCAAATATGCTGGTAATGATGAACACGTGTGTTTATGCGTGTAACAAACATTCATTCTCTTTTATAAAAGTTATTCTTTATAATCTCATTGTAAGGTCATATTTCCATGTCTATTCAGAATATTACAGAAACTTGAATTTATAATTTTTGCTCACACATTTGTCTATAGCAAGAATATAAAAAAGGCAGTAGTATCTTACTAGATGTTTTCTGGTTTGTTTTTCTAATACTCTTTTTAAATGATTACTGCCATGTATATACAGTATTTATGTATGTGCACTACTCCCCACCACACACACACACACACATACACACACACACATACACACACACACACACACACACGAATAGAACAGAGCAGAATTTGATGTTTTGCTATTTTTAGGTTAGATGGACATGATATGATTTCATAATTTTTAAAAACTGTTTTTTTTATTTCAATCTATACTCAGTTTGAAAGGAATAATGATGTAACCCTTGTATTTTTAGAGCCGATCAAAGAAAATTGACTGTTTTGCAAAACAGTCACTGAAAACAACACATCAGCATATGAACACAATGGGAAGAGAATTACAGAAGTACAGGTTTGTATAGAATGAGTTCCCAGAGTTTCATGTTATTGTTATATTTGTTGTATATTTAACTTTTGCTTATATTTTTCTAGATCCAGACAGCTGGAAAATCTTCATTCCTGCCTCCTGAAAGAGCTTGAAAGTTTTGAAAGAGATTCACAACTATTGAGAAATATCGAAAAAGATTTTTCAGTATGTTATTTTCCTTTATTAAATTACTTAAACATTATATTTTAATTAATGACTTTTAAAAATATTAAAGGGAAATATATTCTTTGAATTGGTACAAAAAAGGAAAATGTACTAGCTGCCTTCTAAGGCTAGCTTTGATATCACAGATTATAAAACAAAATTTTGCAACTAATTGTACTAAACCATTCCAGTAGTAGTAAATTGCTCCATAGTTTTATTTCCCCAACCACTGCTTGGAACTGACCCACTTCTAAATAGGAAGGAGACAAAGTACTTTCCAGCATCAATACCAACTTGTAACTGCAAGCACTATTTATTTTTTTAAAGAAAAGTCAACTCATTTATCAACACTGGCCCATTTTTGATTTGGTGCAACTCAAAAGTATCAATATCCAAGTATGAATATTTGGATTAAAATTTCCAAGATTGGAATCAGTTTTTTTTTAAAAAAAAGAATGACATCATGTTTTAAGAATATGATCACTGTATCTCTTGCTTCACCGCACATTTTACAAGTGACTGTTCAGTGAAAATGGCAATCCATGCTGACTTCATGATATTATCTAAAAATTTATGGGCCTAAGCAGAAATTCTTGTAAGCAAGTGATTAAAATAGAGCATGAAATCATCACAGTTGGTAAAAGTAACATTATATTACAGCTTGCAGTAAAGTTATTTTTTGATTTATGTTTAAAGACTAATGAAATTCAAATTTGTATTTCACATTGGCTATTTTTAGAATTTTTCAAAGAAGCATTTTGAAACGTTTAGCACTTACAACAAGAATGAACAGCAGAGGTTAGTATATTTTCTTTTTATTATAGTACAACAAAGACATTATGTGATCAGTGTAATTATAGTTATTATAATTATACTTTTAAAAGCCATTAATTTACATTCCTTAGGAGGCTTACAGTTAATAACAACATCTGAAATCAAATTTGATAAATTATGGAATAAGACTGTCAAGGTAGTCCAAGTAGTTATCTTTTTTCTTTAAGAAATTTTTCCTTTTCATAACCCTTTATTTAATACAATCCATAGTGCTTAAGTGTTACCTTCAAATGTTTATAGCCCATGTGCCACTGAATACTATTTGGCAGATAGGAATCAGCAGAGAGCACCTATTGTCTTTATTTCTTGTTGAAAAATATTTCCAGAGATATTTCATTGGCTATCAGTAATGTGGACTCAAAATGCAGGACTCAAAACCCATAATCAAGGCTGACTGCAGTATTTACATTTAATTGTGCCCAATGGAGGAATCTCCTCCAAATAATTTTGAGAGGAAATGATGTATAAGTAATAAGTGATGTAAGCAAGCATACAATTTCTCAAGTTACCTTCTACTGTTATCTTCAAGAAAGGAAAGTTATTATCTTCAATAAAGTCTTAGAAAAAAACATGTCAGTAGGTTGCCAGGTAAATGTTGATAAAGTTTACTGAGACACTGTGACACTTCAAGACCTCTATGTGTCTATATGATTAACACACATTCCTTCCAGGTTTCTATTTTGCTGATATGCTCCCATTCCTCTGAGAATTTATTTTGCTCACAGTAATAACAGGTTGCTAAAGCAGCTGGCCTTGATCCAGAAGGGCTGCATTCTTGTGACTATAAGTTTAACTATAATAAAATGGAAACAAGTACTTTTAATTATATTTTTCTCTATGTCAAAACAAATAAATCAAATATTGGTTTGATCTATGGTTTCTTAGACTTCAGAATCTTAGAACTTCATTTGAGAAGAACATTTACCATACTGCTGATCAAGAGGAAAATATTTTTCTATCTCAAGTATGTATTTCTCCTTATGACTGGCTGAGGTGATCATAATTTAATTCAGTTAAGTTCAGAAATCAGAATGAACAAAATCAGCAAAAATTTAGTAATCACTTCTGTATATTTACAAAGCAAAGTTCTTTTCCCAACCAGTTCTTGTAGACATGGGGAGCAGCCATAGCAAATATACTCACAATGGGCTGATTTTGGGGGAAAGTTGAATAGCCTTTCTCTTTTTTTCCCCTGTTTCTTTTTCTCTCTTCCTGCTAAATAAATCAGATGCATATATAAGGCACCAGCAAGGGAAGGTCATATATTAGTGAATATTACCTACTTTGTAAAATATCTAGCAGGCAATTGGTTAAGGCAAAAGAGGGAAATAATGATCTAATTGGGATCAGAGCAGGAAGGTCCTTATCATTAGCTAGCACAAAATAAAGTGCTTAGGGTTTCATTGATAAAACAAGGAAGATATTAGCTTGAATAAGCAAGGTTTTGTATGCTGGTCAAAAGCACAGTTTATTTAAAATACACTTCTCTTCTAAACATACTGTTTCTAACACCTACTTTCAATATACAAAAAAATCTGCAAATTGAAATAGCTACTACCCAAAAAAGTTAATATGGTCTGGATTTTTTACTCATTGTATCAGTTATTAGTGTTTATGTTGCAAAACTAGTATGAATGTTAAACTTTCCTTGTGGAAAATGGTCAGTCAATGCAGCCTTCCCTCCCTCCCTCCCTCCCTCCATCTTCTGGAGCATAAAATATGACTTTTCCTGTTTTCCTTCCTCATAACTTTTGCACTACTGGTACTCACCTCTTTGTGCTTCCAACCTGTGCTTAATTATATATAGTGTTTAAGGTAGTCCCACAAGTGGAATATGATTCAGCAAGCATATTGTTGGCATCTGTGAGCATAATTTCCCAATCATAGTGTGTGCTAACTGCTATTTCTCTGTGCAGTTACCATAGTTTCTTTGAATTAGTTTTGACTATCAGTAAATAGTTCTGCCATGATATTTTCGGGTCTCTGAATCACTCCCAATATAGAATTGTAGTAATATGTCCGCCCCGAAGGAATTTATATGAGTGTAGGATTTATATGTCTATTACTGTTCTCAGTCCCCCCCCCGCCAATCAGTAGACAAGATAATTAGTAGTTTAGTCTTACAAGCAAAGTCAGAACAGTTATTGAAAAACATAGGAATTGCTTACAAACATGGAGGAATATTACCACTTTTGTTTTGTTTTTTGTTTATCACATTTCTGAACCTCCCACCTCCCTCAAAGGTTTCTGTTTGAAGTTTTGGAAACAGAAAATGTGGATTTGGGAACTAAAAAGGAAACGAAAGAAGAGGGCTAACTCTGAACCTTTTAAAAAAGTACTTATGACTCTTGAAACTCTGTTACAGAGTAGTGATAAGTTGCAGCCTAGAAGTTGTGTTATGCCAACACAGAATTCTGAAATGACTGTGTTGGAAGCACTGTAAAGCTATTGATTTACCCTTGCTATCAATTATAGATTAAAGTTTGCTTCAAAGTAAATAATTATTTTGGATGCATTTTAGGTACATTTTTTGAAAGAAGATTTTAATGGGATTCAAGATAAATTTCTTAAGGAAATGGTAAATATTATTATCTTTTCATCATATACACATTCAATTCTGTATTCATTATGTAATTTTAAACAGAGTTTTTAGGAAATTATTTTTAAAAATAAATTATGTTTATTTTTTATCACAGCATGAAGAAGAATTGCTTAATGTTCGCAAAGGATTACAATCACTATTTATGGGAGAAGATAGAAAGTTGTAATATAATTTAGAATGTAAATGCAAAAAAACAAAAGACTGTATATATTTATACTGCATTTTAATGTGACTGTCCAGTCCTCTGGGATATTATGTGTTAGACATAATTATAAAGCACAAATAATTTTCATGAAAAAAAATTCAGTTGTTATTATAACTCGTTCAAGATAAGGATTCTGTTAATGTTTTTAATGCCATTATAAAAGCAATATTGGAGATATTTCTAATATACAGTGGTCACCTAACTACAACTGAAATTCATAGAACTTAGTCATAAATAACTTTAGATGACTTGTATCTAATTTACAAAAGGCGATCTAAAATCCAATTCTGTATATTCTGAGAAATTCAGTTTCCTGACCAGTAACTTATAAAGTAAACTATTTCTTTTTGCCATTATGTTTGGGACATAATGTGGGACCAATGTCCATTAAATCCATCAGATGTAATGTTCCTCTTTATCCTGCACAATATCCAGCCACACCATGTCTTCTTTTGTAGTTTATGAGGTTGGGCTTTTAAAATCTCAGAAATAACTAATAGGAAGAAGATAATTTGATCTGGTGTGTGTTCTCAGGAGTATTGTCCTTGAGGATAAAACTTATCATATAATGAATACATTTGTTATGTGTTGGCCTGTTTATTTTATTGATAAATAAAATAAACAGAGAGTAAATCTAAATTCAATATGCAGGTTCATCAGATACATTGAATATTTTCATAAATTTACCATTAAAAATAGCAATATACTAAGTATATAATAATTAGAAATCTTTAGAGATTAAAAAATAAATTTAAAGGTTTTCTTTAGTTTTTTTCCAAGTTCCTTGCCATTGTAGTTTTAAATGAAATTGCTGGTCTAAAATTGTAACTCTATCCTTTGGCTGTATTGTAAGTGTATTTTTAAAATTATAGAAAATTGTATTTTAGAAGATTAAAGTATTTTTTTAACAAAAGGTTGATAAAGAAAAATTGGTGGTAATTTTTCCTCTGTCATTTGATGCAGCTATATAGAGAAATATATATTTGGGGATACATTTAATTTAATGTACTACTCTGGGAGGTAGTGGAATGATGGCTTAAATGCTTCCTTCTAATTTAATACTAATGTAATTTTGCAGAGATAAAGTTTCTACATATTGTATTTTCATAGAAAGTCACATTTTCACGATTATAAGTATAACTATGAAGTATATGAGTTCATTGAAGCATATGTTCTTCCACTTTTCCCACTAAAAAAAACTACTAAATCAGGTTTTAGAGAGAAAAGACAATATTTGCCAGGAGTCTTAAAGTTAATGATTTTGCTTACAAAATAATTCCCATTTGAATGGCATATTAACAGTAACAAATATCTAATATATTTTTCTTTGGATAAACACTGAAAATATAGACAATTTTTAAGCCTATAGGCAAAATAGGGAGGTGAAATAATGACCCAAATTACCATTTTTCTTTTATAAATATAGCTTATTATACTCTCCAGATATTGCTGAATTATATAATTACAATTTAAGAGTTTCTACCTATACAAGCCATTGGTGTGAGGTTTGGGTTTACAGGCTGGGGCATAGTGTGGAGATGGCACTGATTACTCTTGTTGATGACCTGGGGCAGTGTCTGGATGGCAAAAGTGGAACCATCCTGGATGCTTTTTGTTTCTTTTCAATACTTTGATCATGGTATCTTCCTGAGCCGACTGCAAGTTGGTGAGTGCAGGGATTGGGTGGGAGAAACAAGCACAGGCAAAATCCTGGCAAGGTTGAGTATCTGTGTGTGCTTGAGTATTTCACTGTTCTGTAGATCCTCCACTGTCCTGTTCAAACCTGGTGCATAACGTGAGTCCTTCTTGACTCACAGTTCCTGCTTGAACAGCTGGTAGAAACTGTGATCAGGAAAACCTTCATACAAGTAAGTCCAGGTTGTGTGCCTTCTCTTCCATACAGTCATGTATGTATTGGTCACCTCATGGATGGACACTGGTGAAATATACTCTACACGAGGGTCTCTTTAAAAAATCATTTTGAAGTTACAGCTCATACCAACGTAACACCCATATGCAATGCTTTATCAGTTGCCTTCCAGATGCAATTCAAGCTGCTGCTTGTCACCTTTAAGTCCTACATTTCATAAGCCCTAGCATAAGGGTTGTCTCTGCCTGGTTCTTCCTGCCCTATCAGATGTATCAGAGTTGGCTTGCCCTTAGTCCCATCAATTGAGCAATGTCATCTAGCAGGACCCAGGTCTTCTCTGTTGTAGCTCCTGCCCCCTTTTAACAGCACCCCTTTGAAAATTTGCATGTTGCTCACCTGAAAAAGCTTTGAAGGAGAATGAAAAACAGCGATTCCCCAGGCCTTGTACTGGGGTAACCGAGGGGATCTTTTGTCCACTTCCTATGTCTGTGGGTGCAGGAAGTTGGTTGGTTGTTGTTCCCTTTGATGACACTATCTTCTGGGGTTTATTTCTAATTTTACTTTTTCATAGCCTCTCAGAGTTGCCTGGACCATAGTCGACATATATATGTCATAAATAAATAAATATATTAGGGTTAAATTATGAAAAAATAAATAAGCAAGTAACCATTTTAGGGTATCAAGTTCCCATTGCTGTTTTACCAAAACAAATTTACCATATTAGGTTTTTTTTTTAAGGTAGTAGCCCCATTAGGCTTGAATCCTTGAATCATGCTAGGCCTCTCAGATTTTTGTTGATTCTGTATTCTTACTGTTGCCCTTTATGGAATAGCCATTATCAGTGTTCAATATTCTCTGGAGCTATCCATTTCTCATCCTGTCAGATTGTGGTTTTCTGGATCACGTTCTCATACGTCACCAAATGTACTGTGCATTGGGTCCAACCTATCTTACTTGCAATTATCTTCCATTGAAATCAATGTGAAAAGTGAGTTGAAGCCAATTTCTGCTTTATTGATTCCAGTGCAACTAAGTTTGAACCCAACCCTATTTATGTAGTTAGAAATGGGGGGATTTGGGAGAGGGGGCTCCATTCTTTTTATTTATTTATTTATTTTTGTCAATTGCTTACAAGATAATAGGTATAAGTAAAAACATAGTTATGAATACATGGACACATATAAGAAAAATAAAAAGTAAAACAATGGGACAGGGACGGTAGGCATGTTGGTGCGCTTATGCACGCCCCCTACAGACCTCTTAGGAAAGGGGTGATAGGAAAGGCGTGGTAAGAATGCAGAAAAGATGACGGCGGCAGTAGCGGCAGTATGAGGAGCTCCGGCGGGAATGGGCAGCGCCAGGCGATAAGCCCTCTAATCCCTGCGGGTCCAGCCAGCGAGGTGGAAAGCCTAACGCCCGAGACTTGCCATCAAGCCAGAAAAGAGCTCCATTCCTCAGTAAACACTCAATTCAAAAGTACTCAGAAATTTCCGATTCCTCCCATCCTTGAAAGAGCTCATTCCTCAGTAAGCGCTAAATTCAAAGGGCAGTATTCAAAAGCGCTCAACGATCTGTGACTTGACCCATCCTTACTAGAAGGTAAGGCAGTGGGGCTCACCAGTACAAGGGGCTCTGCGATCATCCTTGCAGGGCGGTGAGACGGTGAGATTCATCCCATCCTTGCAGGGCGGTGAGCACCGGGAGCTGTGAGTCGGTCTTCAGACATTTGCAGCCAGGGTGTGAAGCAGACTGCTTCTCCCCCTGCAGCCCCTCCTTCCCTCTTCACTAAATTGCTAATCCAGATTCCCTCTTTAAAAGGACAGTAGATTAGTTTTGTTATAACTGAACTCCTGTGAAGATTGGAAGCAATTTTATTTCTTGTGATAGAAGCAGAAGTATATTGAAGCCAGGAGCAAATGCTCAATACAAATCTGAGTCTACATAGTAAAAATATAAACTGTTCGAATTGCCAATGCAAGACTATCTAGGTGCCTCTTAAAGCAACAAACTTTGAAAGTGTATTTAAGGGGAGGGGCCCAGAAATCCCATTCATCAAGGGAAAACAAAAACAAAAAGTTTCCTGTTGCCTCCCTGTAAATTGTTCTGTTTATCTCTGCTGAAGAAGGGGCCAGAGATCCCCCACCCCGGTCAGCATCTTTGCATCTTTACTATCTCAAAAACTCAATCTACAAAACAAGAAAGAGAGTGTAAACCCTTGCTCACTGATTGTTTTCAAGAGGAAAGAGAAACTGCTGTTTCTCCAGCCCAGAAAAAGAGGCCTCCTGCCAGTTTATTAGGGGTTATAAACCTATTCTCAGATATCAGCAACAGCTAAGCAAAGTAATAACCCTTTACTTACTGACTCTCAATACTACTTCATTACTTTCATTATCTCAAAACTTATAACTTTCTACCTCAAGACCTATATCAAAGATTAGATAATGATATCTCCAAATCAATTTCTTTAAAATAATTAATTTTTAATCAAATGATTAATTGGTTTATTGTTTTTATTGATTAGTATGATTGAGTGTTTAGTGCATATAGTGTAATTACTGAATATCTGATTAGTAAAATCAGTGATTTAATGAATTTAATTGAATTTAGTAATTACTGTAATAAATTAGGCTGTTTGTTGCTTAGCAAAATTATTTGATTAGAGTGATTTGAATAACCAATTGATTGATTGATTGAGTTTTACTAATAAGTAACCTTACTTTTGATTTGTTCTCTAACATATCAATTAACATTTATTAATTACCAACATTCATTAAGTAACTGTCTACCTATCACATTAACTAGCTATTGCAATTGTTTAGTGTACTATTGCCATTGACCATGCCAGCCAAAAACTCCAAACCAAAACAAAAGAAAAACATCTCTACCAATGACCTCCCAGACTCCTGCACATGTTTCAGATGTCTTGAAACCATCAATGAAAGCGAAATTTACATCAAATGCCGCCTATGCGAAAATCTAGCCCTCCCTGCCTGCTTAAACGCAAACAAAAGCCTAGCTGATATGGTTAAAAATTCAGATACATTCTTTTATCTATGTCCATCATGTTCTCCTAAGCTAAACAAACTGAGTA